CGTGATTAATCGCATGATTTTTCCGCGATTAATCACATTGTTATGCACAAAAATCAATAATGAATTCAAAAGTAGTGTATTGCGCACTTTTTTCATTTAAAAGTACTGCTATATGAACAAAAGTGCAATAACATTTGGTTTGCAAACACTTTAAACAAATAATGTGCAATTTTACAGCAGTATTCCTTTTACATAGTAGCAGTTAAAATATTTCTTGTAAATCTCAACTTATAACATTAATGTAATCAAATTAAATATAAAACCAAAGCTATTTGCCACTGCCAGGGCATTAACGTTTTTATAGAAAATATTTTAGTTTGTTATAGAAAAACAAATTATGCTCAGAGTCCAGAGCCTCAATCATAACATTATAACAGGCACCTTCAGAGTAGAGACCTGCACATTACTGGACATTACTGATCAACATCCCACCCCTCCTGTGACCCATGATTTGTCTGCATTATATTACATGATATATAGTATTCAGAGCCAGTGAGCAACGGACTTTCATAATAATAATAAAAAAAACTGCGTTAATGCGCGATAAAATAATTGTCGGCGTTACAGATTACAGATCGTTACAGAATATCTGTTACAGATATTTTGGAACATTTCTCAAGCTGGTATTGGCATTATTATGATGGCTATATGACTGTGCTGTAATTGCATGGGCTCCCTCTCACCTTGGTCGTCTTGACTTTGTTTCCCGTGCTGCAGCTCCAACCTTTTAGATCCGGCAACACCTTACACTCCTCGCCCTCCATACACGGCTGCATCTGACACCACCACTTCTGTGCTACTATAGAAGCTGCACAGACAGAGAGAAAGAAAGAAAGAAAGAAAGAAAGAAGAGAGAATCTCAACACTCCGCTCACTCTGTGGGAACTGCCAAATTGGGAAAGAAACAAGCCCAAATCACCACGCATCCATGATTTTGAAGGATGCAGCAATGAAGATTGAGAGGAGGAGAAAACCTCAGAAGATCTCGCTCACGTCCAGTGTCAAATGAAATGAAACTATGTCTTTGTATCTCTTTCTCCCGAAAACAATGAGGCTAGTCAGGGAGGAGGTCTTTGATTCAAAGCTGACGGTTTGAATCCATCAATCTGATGTGGGCTCGACGCTCACTGTATGTCATACGGGATAAAGTTCTGCCTTCATGTCAAGATGACAAGAGTTGCGGTCTGGGGGATTGGCACAATGTTGAGAGTTAAGGGGAATTGAGAAGCAGAAGGAAGACATTGTCGAGCTTGAGGCCTCAACTTTTAATATGGGGCAGAGAGGAAGGAGCTATAAACCTTTTAAGATCGCAGGATATCAAAAAAAAGTTTGTAGATTTAAGTCCACATCTATCAGCTGAATCCAACTATATGATAAAATAAACTTTTAGGCTGAATGGAAAAACATACCTCTACCTACAATTTCCAAAAAGGCACCTATACATAAAATTCACTGCAGCTTCCAGCTAATTTGAACACTAGTAACATTAAAACACCAACAACTTTTATTCCTTTTCACACAAATAATGATTACAGAAGCACCGTTTAATACGTTTATTTAGTATTATATAGATTTAATAGATTATTTGCGTGATTCTTTGCACCATATTATGTTATGACCTCAAAATAGCGCACCATACTGCATGATTTGTAAACTACTACATTTTGAGGTTTGCATGACATAACCAGGTTCATATGTATGGCTTTTCTGATGTAGCAAACTTGCTCAGTAGCGCACCTGGTACAGCTTTGCACTTGCGATGAGCCCTCTGGTACATTCAAAGTGCCACAAAACATGCAAGCAGAAACATAATTTCATTCTGCAGAAATATCACCACAGGCACACTTTTTAATGATCCTGGGTGAAACTTTTACCAGATATACATTTAGGAAAACAGACCAAAAATATTCATGACCTTGCACATAGAGATTTTGTGGCCAATAAAATGCTTTCTAAAATGAGAATGTCCTGTCTTCCAAAAAAACATTTGCAATTAGCAAGTTTTTACGTAAATTTTAAGACTACCAGAGAAAAAACAAGAATGAGCCCTTTAATCTTTAATCTTCCATCCCAACTTTGTTTCAATTGCAAATACAGGAAACACGGAAAAGAACACTGTGACTGTCAAAACTATTTTATGATGTTTTTAAAATGTAGACATACATGTGTAGTTAAATATGTATACACTCCCACAAATCTACCAAAATAACAGTTTTACTATGATTAAACGTGGTAACTGGCCACCACTGCTATTCTCATTCTCAAGTAATAACAAGTGTATTTAATATAGCAACTATAATTAAAATGGTTAGACTTTCTAGAAGTGCTTCTTTGAAAAATTTGAATTGTATTTTGGGGGTCCAAACGTCTGAGACCGCTAGTGATTTTATTTTTCAATACAAATTACATTATCAACAAATAAGTGAAAAGACATGAAAAAATCCCAGATTTCCAATGTTGTCAGACTTTCACAACCCACAGTATGCAGACACAATCTACCGCATAAAAACAGTGTAGAGAGGTCAAGTGTCTTTCAGTCTTAAGTGTAGTGGCTTTTGTCCTCATACAGCAGGTAGAATCATGCGCTGTGGTCTCGGTGCTCAGCAGGGGGTGGCAGCACCTGTCAGATGCATTAGAGGGCAGAAAAGAAGATCAAGATCGATTGACCCGTCCAGTGAGGGGGCCGCTGACATGTTATTAGACAAGCAGCCCACGCTGCACTCGAGCGAACAGCAGGATGCCGGTGTCACACTCAAACGGACCCCGACTCAGAAGTGACAGCCCAGAGAGATGAGACCGAGATAAAGAGGAGCGGCTAGACTTTTAAAAAAATGGTTTAATTTAAAAGCATTAATCCTTAAAATAATAAAACAGGCAAAAGCAACAAGTTACTTCATGTGTATTTTCTACTGTGTTCTACTGTAAATTATACCATGGTACTACCATGTTTTTTAGACATGTCACATTACATTAGCATGGTATTCCTTGATGTTTATTGAAAACATCACCGTACGACCACATTATTTTCTATTAAATAATACAATTAATTTGTAATATTCAAGAACAAAAAGATAAAATACATTAATTTTATCCTAATTAGTACAGACAGACAGACAGACAGACAGACAGACAGATAGATAGATAGATAGATAGATAGATAGATAGATTTCTCTCTATAGAGAGAAAGCATAATTTATATTACAATATATATAATTTTCTACTTTATTTCAGATGTTTATTACAATAGTATTTTCAGAAAACCAATAAGTATAAAAGGTGACTGGAGTTCATGGTAAATAATCACAAATTTGCTTAATTAGCAACCTAGAAATATTTGTTCTTTTACCTTTGTGTTTGTGATCTTTAATGCTAAAAACACATTTTTAACGCTTTAAATGAATGTTATACTGAAAATATAATATAAAAGTCTAATATTTTATCTATCTATCAAGTATAACATAAATAATAAACTACTTTGCTTCATAGAATCAAACAGCAGAAACCACACACACACACACAAGCAAATGTCTTACCGTCCACACAGGAAGGAGCCGCTCTTGTTGTCCCAGCAACTTGCCCAGGGAAGCAAGAACACTTGACAGTTTGGGAGCGCTCCTCGATTTTGTTCTTGTTACAGCAGCGGTGGGCTGCAATGACCTCACAGGTTCCCGCTTTGACGTGTACTGAGGAAAAACAACAAGGACACAGAGTCTATTAAAATCAGCCAGCTGTTTCAAACTCTCATCGCCGACAAAGGAAAACGATGAGGCACTAATGCATATTCTGTTGCTGCCGGTGGCTGCAATGGAAATGAATTTGTTGACGTGGAGGCAGCGTACAATTTAATTAATGCTAATGCAAGCAGTTTGATTTGTCTCAGGTCAGAAATCAGAAGAAACGTTCCCTGTGATCAACGGGTTGGGTTTTATGATTCACTTTAGTAATTACAAGTCAAACGGTTAATTGATAATCATGGACCTTTATGCATCTAGAAGGGTCTTTCAGGCAAATTATTTATTCTCATTTTGTTTTGTTTATCCTTCACCTATGACTGAACAACAGCGGGGAGCAACGTTACTTAGCATTTAAAAGCGTGTATTCACACATCATTTTGAAGCTCTAAATTGAGGAGTTTAAAAAAAGAAAAGAGTATAAAAACATTTCGAAAGTTTTAGTGTACCTTTCAAATCAGCCTTAATTGCATTGGTAAAGATTTTCAATTTAAGACTCGAGTTAAAAATTGATTGAAAAAGGGGCCTCCATTTTCCCATTAGCTGGCCAATCTCAAAATCTCATCAACAACATTAAAAACATTTTGCCTCCAATCAATAAAGAGCCTTTAACGTGCGCACAAAAGGCTCTGCCGAGCGGCAGGCCGATTGTGGACTTGGGAAAGAAAAACAGAGATTTACCGATGCAAACGCCGGCGGGTGAAGGGCTGAACCCCCTTTGTGTGATTATCTCAGCCCCAACACACTGCAGGGCCAAAGTTAATTTCAAAAGGTTTGAGCGGATGCAAATTGAATATTCAATGGTGGAGTTCGTTCCAACAGCTTATAGAAAATGATTGCTTTGACTCATTCAATGTGCATTACCGCCTTTATTTGTGTACCTTCCAATCGCACAGTGCTTGTAAAAATCTATAAGAGAAACAAACTGGGATGGGTTACTCCACAAGCTGGAGTTTGACATGATATGTGTTTGGCTTCTCTGGTAGAGCAGCGATGTGAAAAATGGTTTGAGCATTAAAAAGTCTAGTTAAACAATCCTAAATAACATTTGCATACATTTACTGGCATGATATATTCATAATATTCTAAAATTTAGCTATTCATAAATTAGCCATTAAATGATTATATAAAAAATGTGCAGATTGATTAAGATTGATTTAATGCTCTCAGAGTTGACGGAGAAGTAGAAAACAGAGGACCATTTACTGCTCCTGGATGGATGACTTAAGATTACACTTAAAACCAAATACTGACAAAAAACCAGGCATAAACCAATACAAACCTGGGGTTGGATTCACAAAACTTTTTTAACAATACATTTCTTCTTAACTAGTGATTTTTTGATGCTCATGCCGATATCTGACCAGGGTGGCCAATATAAAGTCAATACATATAATATATCACACAATTTAATTTAAAGGTAAGTAAAGGCACATGTATAAAAACTGCTGAAATGAAAATTATATTTATTTTGCATATTTCTTTATTGATATAATAATTTAAAAATGAATACAAAAAATCTGTAAACAAAAAAAAAACAACTATTTTAGTATTTTTCATAAATTAATAAATCATTAAAAATAAGCATAAAAGGAAACTAAAATTAATAATTCAAACTGTTCTTAAAAACCATTGTAAATAATGGGTACAGCAAGAAGAAGAAGAAGAAGAAGAAGAAGAAGAAAAACACAATTCAGTCCCTAAGAACACACATACTTATGAACCTCGAGTGAAGTGCAAGTTGCTTTGGTTAAAAGTGTCTGCCAAGTGAATAAATGTAAATGATATTATCTATGCACTCAAGAGCTTCTGTGAAAACTCAAAAGCTTTTAATTTTGGCAGTGAAAATTAAGTTTCTATGTTTGGCACTGATCAAAATCTGTTCCTTGACTTGAGGTCACGCTGAAATTGAATCAAATTCGTGAAACAAAGAAAGTGTCGTGTTCCTGGAACAGAATGTTTTTGGCACACACAGAGATCAGCACCAACACAGGAGCACCTGATCCCAGATCAGCCCTCGACCTGCTGTGGGAAAGCTTCTGTCAGGGTAGCAGCCAGGTTGGCAGGGCCTGGAGAAACAGTGCAAACTACTGATTAAACCATAACCCTTTCACCAAGGTCATAAACAAGCCAACCAAATCTATAGGCAGTATGTGTGTGTACGTGAGCGATCGGCTCCTGTGAAGATTAAGTGGGCAGTGTTTAGCAAGGTGCCAGAGGACCAACAAAGAGAATTAAACAGCTACTTCTTGGCTCTGTATACTCGACTGATGTGAGACCTTTTCTAAGAAGGCGTTGTGTCTTTCTCTGGACATCTGTGCAAAATTTCCATGGACTTGCAATAGCTGCGATCGATATGTTTCACTTAAGGTGTGCAGGCTGGTCGTCTGGCAGAGTCAGGGAAAGTCTGCCTCAGCAGAAGGAGGGGGCGCGATCCGGGCGCTAACAGTAATGGGAGCTGGCACGGCTCTTAGGCACTGCTTTCATCACCACAATCACATCCATTGATCCCACATTGACAAGCACCATCATCCCAATGAAGACTGTGAGGGCATGGATGAACTAGATGGATGATAAACTCATCAAAACTAGTTTGGGGTACACTACATGACAGAAGGCAAAATAAAAGGAGCTTATTCAATATATATATAACGCTTTTGTAAAAAATACATATTTTTACACGTGTGTAAAACATAGGCCTATATATGTGTGTTTGCGTGTCATGCTCACCAAGGCAAAATACAGTAAAAAAAAAACTGTAAAAATGTAAAATAATATTACAATGTGTTAACGTGTTCTCTTTTAACTCTTTCCCCGCCAGCATTTTTGAAAAAAGTTGCCAGCCACCGCCAGCGATTTTGATGATTTTCACTCAAATTTGATGGCCTCCAGTATATTTTGCTGTATGAATATTTGAATATGCAATACACCAAAATAAAGATCAGAGCCTCTACTTTTAAACAAAAAAATCAGTTTTATTTATAAATGTATTATTAGCTTAAAGCATTCTTTTTTTTATCAACACTTGAATATA